CTTCAAGGTTGATATTTTCTTTAGAAAACAGCATGTTAAAGTTAAAACTTTAACGTAAAATATTTACTGGGTTGGTGTGGCTCAGTGGTTGAGTGTAAGCCCATGCACTGAAAGATCACAAGTTTGATTCCAGGTCAAGAGCTCTTACCTGGGTTGCAGGTTTGCTCCCTATCCCAGTTGGGGCAGGTGCAGGAGGCAACCAATCAATATGTCTCTCTCAAATGGGTATTTCTATCTATCTCCACCTCCTTCCCTTCCTCTTCCTCCTCCTCCTCCTCTTCCTTCTCTCTCTCTCTCTCTCTCTCTCTCTCTCTCTCTCTCTCTCTAAAACAATGGAAAAAATATTCTCAGGTGAGGAGTAACAAAATTTAAAAAATAAAACTATTTAATGGATAACTACTATATGCTTGTCGGCATAAAAGTACTAACAACATTAAAGCATCTCACAGAAAAAATTATGTTATGACCTCAAGAAACTGAGTGTATTTAAAGCAAAGGATTTACTTCCTCCTATCATAAGGCACATTTAACAATACTCAAACTAGGTTTCATATACTAGGTTTGAACTCTATTTCAATACAATTAACCCTCGCACTTATTTGATCCTAAGCATGATTTCAACCTTAAAATTAGCAGCATGGCTTGAAATCTGCTACTGAAAGAGAAACCCCTTTTAGCTAAAATAGTCTGCTTCCTCTTGACAACTATGAAAAAAAGCAAAATTCACTCTTTCAGAGTTCCTCCTCCCCTCTTTAGTTCTTTATGTACTGGAAAAGCAGATGCTATGCTACTATGAACTTGACCACCAAGACATACGGGGTCAAAATGACTTTATGATCCAGCAACCAGAGATCATGTCGCAGCTGCTGAATATCTTCCCGTTTTCTTAAAGCTCTCTATGGAAGGGAGGGAACAACAAACAAAAACAGACTGTTGGACTAAAAGAAAAAAGCTAATAATTAAGCAGGGGATCAGAAGCAGCTACTGAACTACTCCTTCTAGGAAAATCTCAATACTTATGCCATCTGTCAAAAAAGGCCAAAGTTTTAACAGCCATCACAAAAAGCAATAGCTGACTCAAAGTGAAAACAACAAATAAAACTGGTAATTTTAGTCAATGCTTTTTCCTCAACCCAGAAATCCCTTAATGCTAACGAGTAACAGAAAATCTCCTGCAAAACAGGATTGCAACATCCCCAAATAAACGGACTTGTTTAGGCCTTGACAGCAGTGCTGATCTGGGAACAGCACATTCAATTCAATTTAAGAAATAATAAACTGAAACCTTCAGACCAGATGCAGTCACGAGTGTTTGTCCCAGGGGTGTATAGGAAGTAAGTTGAGTGTTAGTGAAACGTGCTGGGCAGGAGGAGTCCTGCAGGATTGTTGGACGCGGGGCGGGTAGAGGAGACCAGCCTCACCAGAGGCTTTCTTGCATTCCTCCTAAAAGCCTAGTTGCCACCACTGTCGAAGTTCCACCCCCCCCCAAAGTCACAGATCTCAAACATTGTACCCCACAAAATGAAACAAGCTCCCATACACACGCCTGCCCAAACACCAGCAACACGTGCTACAGTTTAGATAGAGCACAATAGAGTGTGAAGAAGCAGGGAAGATCATGTTTTTCTACCTATCATTAAAGATTCACAAATTTCTTAAAGCGAGATAAAACAACTGGAGAGTGGAGGTCTAATTTTATTAAACATCATCTATGTTGGACTCTTTAAAAAGTACTAGAGATGTAAAGCGTTTAAGCTTATTTTTATATGTGTATTACACTTTTACAATAAAAGTTAAAAAACCAAAAGGCACAATAGTCCCCACTTTCCAGTTTCTTTCAATGGAATACTTATGTAAAGACATTCTCACTTTATCTAGGTACAATAATACAGTCTGAAACTTCATTTTCATATTTCTCATCAGTCCCAAAAGTTACTATTAATCCTTATGGTCCTATGCTATACTTGTTATTTAAAGATTGATCATTTGTTATACAAAACCTGGCTCATTAATTTAACTCTCCAGACCCAAACAAAAGACATCATATTATACACACAGTTGATCCTATGTAACTTGAGAAATATGCTTGTAAGAAGTGATAAAGCATTTCAGAAAGACCTTGACAATGTTTCTCCTTTCCAGCTGCTGGAATTCTTACACTACCTCAAAACATCATCTTTAGGGCATTAAGCCCTTGCCAGCCTTTCATTCAGAGTTAAATTTTTATTAATTTTTCTAGCTGAGATATATTAACCCTGAAATATGTACATAGCTAAAACAGACAAGGCCACCTGTTGCCTCCAGGCCTCAAAGAAATTCCTCCCAGGAGCACAGGGGAAAGACTTCCAAAGACTATCTTAGAAGCAGCCAGCTGCTCTAGGGTGGGAGAAACTGAAGCACCCTGAATTGGGCCCACTTTTACCCCCGAGTCTGGCCAAGTGGTGGGAAACACAGAGTTGTGGGAGGAAGGAAGGAGTGAAAGCCAGAATAACAGCAAAATAGACTGCTCTTAATCTAGGATGGTTTTAAAACATATCTTATAAAATGGACTATATATCTTCCTGAAGGTTCCATATTAACTGAAAGAAACTAAAATGGACAAATCAGAGGTTTCAATCCCTTCCTAGATAAAGCACTCCACTTGCATCAATGACATTAGTGCCTGCCTACCTCGGCTCTAACATAACTAAGGAATTCTGTAGCCAACCACACAAAGTGCTATGATACACTGCAATCTAAGTTCTGCTGTTTGGTGTTCTCATCAAATTCAGGTTTACATGATAGTAGTAGTAAAAAAATAAATAAATAATCAAGTCAAATGTTGGATGCTGGGTTACACAATGATTTTCATTACAGTGTTTAGCTCTGAAGAGAGCTAGAAGACACTCTGGGGGAGGTATAAACCTTAAGTATTACGTGTTCAGTAAAAGGAGCATATTAATTAGGGTTTCATAATAAAAATTACATTTGAAAAATTACAGTCATAAGCTAAGGAACAACATGTTCTCTGGCTTCCCCATCAGGTCTTTCTACAAGTAGGCTGGGGCCTAACAGTAGATAAAAGATTACTAAGAGACAGTACAGCCAGCAGCTGACAGCATAGACCCCAAAGGCCGCCTATTCAAATCTCAGCTTTTAGCTGTGTGACTTTGGACAAGTTCATCTCCCTGTGCCTCAGTTTCCTTACCTACTGGGTGATGGTAAGGAAATAGAGTTTATCATGGAAGACTGGTATCAGACACACAAGTTAGGCTTACATCAGGTTTATCCTGTCCACCTGCTTGGGGATTTAGTGGCTCTCCGAAACTAAATCAGCAGAGAAATCCAGTACTGAAAATCTGAGAAGCATACCCTTAAATACAAAAACCTCCATCTACCAAACCCTCTCCTCTTGCACACAAAACAGAAAACACCCAGGGCCTTCTCTTCTAGCAGCCATTGTCACTTGCCATGAAATGCTTTACACTCTAAGCAGAAATTCAGCCCCTTGACAAGGACTAGGGCTGTATATTAAAATATTGCATTAACTTTGCCTGAGATGTCCCAGTAACTGAATGAGTCATTCACTTCTTCAGCAACAGTAAAATGTCAAGGTTGTCAACTGCAGCCCCAGATGTTTGCAAAAATCATTTCCAAGTGATCATCAAACCAAACCCAAATACCTAATTCAAGATAACACTTTAAGTTAAATATATCAGTTTTCATGATTTTTTCCTGTAATGAAAAAAATTTTTAAATAGGGTTATTGGGGGTAAGGGAGGGAGGAATTACAGTAAAATGAGCCCCAAAATTATTAAACAGAATATTAAACAAGGCCTAGAATTCCTCCTTTTGCTCTTGCTTCACAGAGTGTATCCTTTTTAAAACTTTTTTCCAATCTTAACAAGCACTAAACAAACTCTAAACTCAAGATTTAAAGATACCCCATGTATATAAATCTCACCATATTTTTCCCTATCAGACTACTGTACTTCGAAGAAACAGAAGCTTTAAAATTTTTTGATACATCTGTTTATAACAAGATTTTCACTACCTCACATCTGCAAAATACTTTGCGTGTTCTAAACCGATGGTAGCATCCACATGGAGGTCTTTTTCACTTCTATAATAATTCAGGAAAAGTCAGTAGTTTAATTTGAAATAAAGTCAAGCCTTTTGCCCTAACGTATCACAAGAACAAATGACAAGGATACGTATTCTTTGGTCCTTTAAGGTGTTACACACACACACACACACTAACACACACACACTAACACGTCAACTTGCTCTTCCACGTTTTTCTATCCCTTAATCAAGTGGTTGTAGGATCCGATGGTCAGGGTTTTGAGTTTCTCGGGTTCATTCATTACAGAGGATACTACACAACACCCAGTTCAACTAAAACTTCCTTGGCGTCCTGGTCAGTGGCAAATAACTAGAAACGAAATACACGCGGCGCGGCATCCTTCTCCGTTTGCTTATTCTTAGCAACTTTAAATAAAAGACTGAAGAGGGATCCTTTTCCCCCCTCCTTTGACAACTCGACCACCGGGCACAGGGCTGAGCGCCCCACAGCTTCCGGCTGGGGTATAACACGCGCTTCCCCGCTAGGCTCCCACCTCTGCTCCGAACCAACCCGATGTCATAGCTGAAGAATGACGACACTAAAACCAACCCTGCCGATTCACCTCGACGAGGACTGCAACACCCACTAAACTTTTGTCTATTTCTAAAGCGTGGGTGGGGTCAAAACACCTCGCCGCTGGGGTCTGCGGAATCCACTTCCGCGACTGGATGCGCGCTCGGGGCCTGTGCAGCTTAACCCTCCGCAGGCCGAGGGGCTGCCCCGGGGCGGTCA